CCATTTAAGCTTATATTTGTACGAGGGGGTGTGCGATAGACTTACCTCCACGTGGTGCACCCTGGGCAACGTATATTCATACGGCAAAAAAGTCTATTAACCGGCAGTTGACATCTCACTTCAAACTACCATCACCTCACTCTATGCCATATTCGACTATTTCACAGTACTCACCTCACCTTTTTTCTACCTTTGTGTTTGTCTCTTCTACATCTTTGAAGCACTCTTCTGTTCCTCCCCCTCTCGACTTTTTATAATTTGATGTTCCTTCCCCTCTGTGGAGTCTAAAGTCAACTAAAGGGCTAATGATAACCATCAAAACGCCTGCCATTTGATATAAATAAATATTTGTACGAGTGGAAGGTGCGGTAAATAGTCATGATTTCTAAACGAACTAAACTAGTCTAATCACAGTGTATTTTAGCGTATTTTTTCTCTCCCTCATCATACCAAGATTTATCACACGTTTCTAGATGTTAAAAACTTTAATGCGGCCTCACACATTAAGTCTTTAACAAGGTGCAGTTAGTCTCATAGTGATGGGACCTAAGACCCACTATTACTCCCCTCGGGTCTGGGAGAAATGCAATGAGAAACAGTAAAAACATTCTCACATGTGTCAGCCAATGCCCGGTCACCTCCAACTGTTCAGTTCCCTTCCCATAGCATCGGATCACTTGTTCGCACCACCAGAAGATAAGTTGAGCCACCTGCGTATTTACGTCAAGACTTTTTGGATCTTTTGAGGCAGCCAGATGATTGCAATGCTCATCGCAAGATTCACAAAGACACTTCTCCAAACACTCAGCCAATCCTGTTGACGCAAGTCGTGCAATTAGACTAGACGGAGATTCAGCAAAGCGGGTAATACCCCTACATCCAAAGATCTCCATAGCTTCCTTAACTTTTGACGATGTAGAAGGAATCGACGCCTCTGTGCTAATGGGCAGAAAACGAAAAAGAAGAAGCATTAAAATGGAGACACCTAAAGATACCCCATCTCACACACGCAAAATAATACTGAGCTCTAAAACGTTGATACGTCTACTTTGGGAAAATAAAAACAAACAAACAAACAAACACAGCACGAAGTTGAAGGAAACACACACAAATAGTGGCTCGTATGTCTAGTCTCTCACCTCTGTCGCCTTCTATCCCTCATTAAAACGTCGCATTTTCTAGATCGAAACACAATCGAAATAAAAGTGTCCACAACAGCAATAACAGAAGAGACACAAGTGTGTGGGGGGGGAGGGGGGTAGAATGCTTCGAAAACTCACTTAGAGTAAGTTTGGAAGGCCTCCAAGAGTTTCAATAAAGCAGATCTACCATCTGAGGCTAATTCCTGCAAGCTCTTGAGTTTATTGACAAAAATGAGCTTCAGTTGACGCAGGAGAGATTCACAAGCTGTAACAATTGATGGGGAAACTGCTGCTGTTGATAATGATGCGGTTGAAGCAGTTGCATCGAGTTCTGAAGTTGAAGTATCTCCTCCCACGTCTGCACGACTACGTTTGGAGCGAGTAGTTTTGACAGGAGAATAGACATTCCCTGTTGTTGTTGTTTTTGTTATTGCTGCTTCATTCAGACGAGTCGAAATGTTTTCACCCTGATTGACGTGATCAAGAAGTTGAATCAAATGGTCCCATTTACGTGAACCGGAAACTGTAAGCCAACGGCAAGTCTCTTCGATCTGTTTTTTTTATTAAAGGTAAATGTTAAGGGTCATGATGAAGATCCTCAAAACGACAATTTTCTGCTCAACTTATTATGATTAAATATGGGGTGTGCGATAGACTTACCTCCACGTGGTGCACACTGGGCAACGTATACTCATACGGCAAAAAAGTCTATTAACCGGCAGTTGATTTCTGACTTCAAAATACCATGGCACGACTGCTTGTCATATTCGACCCCTTCCACAGTACTCACCTTACCTTTTTCTCTACCTTTGTGTCTGTCTGCCTCTTTTACATCTGTGAATCGCTCTTCTGTTCCCCACCACTTGACTTTCTGCTACTTTGATGAACCTTCCCTCTGTGAAGCTCGAAGTCAGCTAAATGGCTAATGATAGCTATCAAAACGCCTGCCATTTGAAATAAATAAATAAATTATGATTAAATAT